ACATACAAATGTCGGTTGCCAGCTGCACGTTACATCTCCGTCGACACCCTTTCTTGATCAGTGTGGTGTAGCTTAAGATGGCCTGCACGGCCCTCATGCCCGCATCTTTCTCCCCTGTGACCCGGCAAAAGGAAGATGGGCTTGATCTCATCCCCTGAGCCCTTTAAAAGCAGAGTTCTCTCTGGATGGTATTGGAAGAGAAAGCCGGAGGGATTCAAACAGTGACAAGGACTCCGTTGCTGGTTTTGAAGATGGAGGACATCGCATATGATAAGCAAGGCAAATGGCCTCCAGGAGCAGAGAGAGTGGCCCTGGGCTGGCAGCCAGCAAGGAAATGGGGATCTCAAACCCACTGCTGCAAGGAATTCTGCCAAGCGCCTGAACAAGCGGGGAAGTGGATTCTTCCCTAAACTCCCCAGATAGCCCGGCCCGACCATCGTGTTGAGTTCAGCCCTGAGCAGAGAACCCAGGTGAGTCCACAGGGAGTTCTGCCCTACGACCGAGAGACGTTAAGTGGGTATTGGTTCAAGTCTCTGAGTTTGCAGTACTCTGTAAGGACGAACAGAGCCCTGGCACAGTCCGTCTCGCAGCACTATGCGGCTGGCTTTCCTTCGGATGGATGTTTCCAGACCCAGCTCATTTCCTCATAAAATTCCTAAAATGGTTATCTGCCCCTCCAGAAGGTGGAATCATCACGCTCTGATGCCTCTGAGCCTGGCTCTTACCATCCTCAACTCCGCCATCTGCTGGGGGAGCCTTCTCAATTTCAAAAAGTTAAAAGTTTCAAAGAGTTAAAGCTCGGAGGAACATCGGGCCATAGCAGGTGAGAAAAGTGGAGGTGGGTGCTCACCTCCCAGGGGAAGGAGCTGCCCGAGGCAGGGACCTCGTGGGACGCCGCTCACCCCCCGCACCCTGCTGTGCACCCACGACACTGCTGATAGGTACTGCTGGACTGAAAGTCCTCGACCAGAGGGGCTGGCTTGGATGCCGGAGGGATGAACCCTGAGATGAGATGAGAAGGTTCTGGGGCCCCACAAGCTTGATGAAAGTCTTGGATGGAAGATACGGGACCCCAGGCTGGAGTCTGAGAAAGGGGCCACAAGGGAGCAGGGCTCCAATGCTAATTCCACAGAAGCATGGACTCTAGCTACTCCAGACAGACAGACATCACTCTGAAAGTTTTCAACCCTCTGTTCTAATCCCGTTCCTCGCCAGCAGCTTTTGGACATCGAGTGCTGTTCGGGGGCTGTGTGTGGCGTGGCATATGTGACGGACATGGGGCCGTCCTACCTGGCTGCTGGCAGGAAGGGTTCCTTCACACCTCAACGCCCTATCCCCCTCCCCCCATTTTCTATCGGGAAGAGCTAACAGCATCAACAGTGAGTCCCTGAAGGTCTCCCCTCCTGCCTCCCTTTACCCATCAAACACCCAGAGCCCTACTTCCTGCCTTTGCTGATGAGAACCATTCATTTCTGGAACCAATCAGTTATTTCTTCCTTAATGAGCTGGTGTCTCTTCTTGCTTGGAAAACTTCAATCAACTTAAGTCCATCTCTTTTTTCCCCCATTAGAACACTACCTCATGTATCTGAGAGCCCAGATCTCTCTCGATTGGGCAGTCTTGGGCTTCTTTATGTCCTGGACCCGGGGTGAACATGCTGAAAGGCTGGGAGGAGGAGTGAGGGTCTGTCCGTGGCAGCTGTCTGTCTGTCCCCACTCTGAGGGGAAGCCCTCTCACTCAGGCTCATGAGAATCACTAAATCGTCTGGATTTGCTCTGCCCTTCTCTGCGGGTTTAGGAATGAGTCTGTGGGTCTGTGGCTTCGCGTGTAATCAAGAAATCTGCCTAGACCCACAGAATTGCTTCTGCCCCAGGGCTGGGCCCCTTTGGAAACCTGACAAATGCAAGGAGTATCAGAGTGAGTTAAACACACACGTGTAAACATGAGCGAACTAGGATAAGCTTGTGTATGATCACAGGAATTCTAAGTGTGACTCATCACAACTCATTTCAGTCAAGCAGGAAACTTAACACTCCAAGGGAGAGCGGCCAGAAAAAAGGAGGAGGAGGAGGGAGGGAGGGAGGGAGAAGGCCTCTGACTCTCCGGCAAGAGCCTGGGGGCAGGGCTGAGGGTCCTCCATTCACCCCGACCCCCTACCCCACCCCCCCCCCCGCCAGCCTCCCAGGAAGTGTGTTCAGTCCTTACAGGCTGAACGTCTCAAACACCACCTCACAGATACAGCAGAACACGGTGGGGGATGTGTGTAGGGGGGGTTGGGGTAACCGTCTGCAGTACACCCTTTCCTGCCTCCCTGGACAGAGTTCCGGGGGCGCAAAGGTGAGGGGAAGCTATTTCAGAGGTGTAACCTTCACTCACAACCCTGTTTCTGAAGGGCCCTGGCACCTCCTTCTGGTGAGAGGCTTCTCCCATCCCCCACTGGGCACCAATCACCCCCAGAACTTGCCTGCCCTGGGTTTTCTAGATGACCTCTTCCCTTCTGAGTCCCCTAAACCAAGTCCCCCTAAAACTGAACTCCTCTGCTGAGTTTATGATTACCATCTCTACCCAAAACTTGATCTCCTTTCTTGTCTGGCTTCAGTACCCCTCAGGATCGAGGAGGATCAATTGAAACCCGGCAGGACCCTGTGGGGCCTTCCCGGGTACAAAAGGCCCTCCGTGTACCCTGCTTCTTGTTTGTAGAAAAAAGGCTTTAGTCTCCTCGGCCTTCCTGAGTTCCAAAGAGCAGAATCCAGCAGTTAACGATTAGGACAAAGTCACAAGTCCCCTAGCTCCTCCTGAAAGGACACAGATCACAATGTGATGCACATCTCTGAGCTGTTCTGCTAAGACCCCCACCGGGTGGAGGATGGGGACCACACGCTGACCACAGCACGTCGACCCCAGACTGGATGGAACCAGAAGGTTGATGATTGAGATTCCCAAAACATCGCTCCGTTACCTCACCACCAACCAATCTGAAGAAGGTCCACGAGCTGATCAGGCATCCTACGACCCTCTCCCTCCCTCTGTCTTTAAAAACCTTCCCCTGAAAGCCACTGGGGAGTTCTAAGCATGAGTTGCCTGCTTAGCGCCCTGCAAATAAACCCTTACTTTGCTGCAAACACCTGCGTTCGGTTTGGCTTTCCATGCAGCCAGCCCAGGAGCCCTTGCTCGGTCACACTCCAATTCCCTTCCAGAGGGAAGTCCCTTTGGCCAGGGCCAGCCAGCTCCATCCCCTCCTTTCCCTCACCTGAAGCAGATAATGGTCATGTGGAGGCCTGGGGACGTGGCAGGTCAGCTAGGCTGCACTTCATTGCCCCAAACTCCTTTCCCTGGATGTTTCCAAGGAGATGGTGGTCACAGACGCTCCCGTGGGGGGCTGGGAGGCTCAGACGCACTGCCCAACTCTGCCTGCTCCCCCCATTCCTCCAAAGGCCGTGGCCCACAGCGGCCCCTCCCTCCCTGGACCCTCCTGCAGCATCTCCGGCTCCCGGACAGATGTGGCTGTTCGAGGACCTGGGTCCCACTTCTGCAGATGCCCATCCTGCCAGGCTCAGGGCCAAGATAGCTGCCGGGGGTCCCTGTCCAACCTTGTGAGCCCAGCTTGTGGGTGTGGATTCCGACTCGGTCTCCATCTCCCCTACTTTATGTCCATATTTCTTTCCCACCTACCTCCTACCCCTCCTTGGGCTTCAAGCTCCAGCATCAGACTAGAAGACAGCAGGTGTGCAGAGACTGCTGGACAGGTGCCCACGCTGCCTCAGGTCCCATCCCTCGGACAAAGCCGCTTCTCTACCCACGGCTCTGCCTCCCTTCTGCTGCGTCCGCTCCTCCAACTGCACGCCGACTACTCAGGTGGTGTTACTGACAGCTCCCACCGCACGTGTAGGAGCCCAGGTCCTCGAAAGCGGTTGGTTCACTCCAAAGGTTCTTGAACCTGAGCCCACATTGGAATCACCTGGAGGCCTTGTTAAAACCCAGAGGGCTTGGTCCGCCCCCGGAGTTCCCGATGCTCAGGGCTAGGGTGGGGCCTGAGAATTTGCCTTTCTAGTAAGTTCCCAGCGGATGTGGTTGCTGCTGCAAGGTGGTGAGGACAACGGGGAGGGGTGACCCTGCCCACAGCGCTGCAGGCTCCCTTGTGGGTAACCGACTCCCCGCAGGCCCTCCGAGGTCACAGGGCCAAGTTGGACCCAAGGGCCTAGTCCAGGCCGGCGCCTCAGCCCACGCTGGAGGGCAAAGCAGCGGAGCCTCAGCCTGGCGAAAGGAGCACAGGCTGGGGGCAGGCCGACCCAATGTGACCCCTGACCTGGTCATCGGGAGCCAGTATCCTCGGGCAAGTGTCCCGTTTGGTCATCCAGGGGTAAAGGTGCCTCACAGTTGTCACGGGGTTGATGTACATGAAATACATGCTCGAGAAAGCCTGCTCCCTCTGCGCGGACTCTGAGCTGCCTTTAGCCGTGGGTGATTCAAAACGGGCGGCTGAGTCTTTGACCGTTAGGACAAGACTTTACATTTGCCTCCACTCAGCTGAGTTTTGCTGGTTTTCAGCCAGCTTTCCAGCCTGCTATGGTGCTGTCGTCTGGCGGCCCGCCCCCTGCTCCTGCACTGGCCTTGCTGATACCACGTCGCCTGTTTCAGGGCTCACAGCGGGCGGGAGAGCAGGGCTTCGTCCCAAGGTCAGGGAAGAAGGAGCTCCTAAGCCGCCACCTTTGGCACTCTGACCTGGGAAGCTGCCGCCCTAGTTTCTGGTGAGTCTTTGCACCCCAGCTGGATACATCGACTTAAAAAAAGAACGGAGGTGCTAGAGGGAAGAAGGGTCCTATGTACTCACCCACCGGCGTGTTGCCACGTGGATACTTCCTATGTGAACTGCAAAGCCTGGGAGACACCAGACCTGGGCTGCCTAGGTGACCAGCTCCAGGAGGGGGCACTCTGGGGGCATCTCCCCTCAGTAGACCCTCTTCCCCGTGAATAAACCACCAAAGAGAGAGAGAGAACTGAGGAACAAACTTCTTACAGAATTTAATGTTTTCAGGGCTGGGCTGGGCAGAGGAAACAGACAGGGATTTCTCCAGCAGAAAAGCCCAAGGGTCCCAGAGAGCTGGGCGGGGCTGACTGGACGGCAAGGTCACCAGGAACTTACTCTCTCCCAGTCTCTGTCTCAGAACATTCCAGAACCATGGCTGCTCCTTAAACCCGAACTTGCTGTTGCTCCTTCTTCTTCACTTCTGCCCAGATGTCTGACAGGTCCTGGATAAACTGCTGGATCTAGCAAGGCCAAGGGACTGGAGTTAGCCCCGGCCGGCAAAAGGCCACCCATTCAAAAACGGACCATGTCTGGGCATAACCTGCCTGTAAGGAGTCAGCATTCTCCTGTGACCGACTTCTTGAGGCCACTTTCCATCACTTGACATTTATTTTAGATGACAGAGAGAATCAGGCTTAGCAGACTAGAAGTGATAAACAGAAGTGGATCTGGGAACCCTAGAGGCAGACACAGTGAAAGGGTGAAGTACAGGCTGACAGTCTAACAACAGGGAGGCAGAGGGAGCTTTGAGCAGACTGAGCTAGGAGCGTTTAGCAGGAAGGGGTCAGCCGGTTTCCGGGCAGATAGCTTTCGGCACTTTAACATTTACTTGAAACCCAGAATCGGTGCTCATTATGATAATCTTGAGTTATCAAGAGAAGTTTAAATTCTATTCACTAACTTCTGTTGTAAAGAACACGGCACCCATACGACACAGTGGAAAAGAACACAGCCTCCTAAATCAGAAGACGTGGGGTCCCCCCAACCTAAGTGTCCATCAACAGATGAGTGGTTAAAGAAGATGTGGTATATATACACAATGAGATGTTACTCAGCCATTAAAAAAAGAATGAAATAGTGCAATTTGCAGCAACATGGATGGACCTAGAGACTATCATATCAGGTGAAGTAAGTCAGACAGAGAAAGACAAATGACATATGATATCACTTACATGCGGAATCTAAAACAAATAGTACAGACGAACCTACAAAACAGAGAAACAGACTCACATAGAAAACGAATTTACGATTACCAAAGGAGAAGGTGGGGGAGGAATAAATTGGGAGTATGGGATTAACAGACGCACACAACCACATATAAAATAAACAAGGATTTACTGTACAGCACAGGGAACAATATCCAATATCTTGTAATAAACCATAATGGAAAAGAATTGGAAAAAAGAATAGATATGCATAAATAGGTATCACTGAAGCACTCTGCTATACACCTGAAGCGAACACACTATTATAAATCAACTATACTTCAATTAAAAAAAGGTAGACTTGGGGTACTGATGCAGCTCTGGGGAAATCACTTCCTCCTTCTGGGACTCAGTTTCTTTCTCTTTAAAAAGGGAAGATGGAGAAAAGGTTTGCCTCGATGGCCTCTAAGATCTCAGTCCTAAAATGGTTCCTTTTCAGTAGTGTTCCCCAAGGTGGGGCTACCCAGACTGTCCAAAATTCTCAACAACCCCGTTAGTCGCTAATACTGTTATTATTACCAATATAATTCCTATTTCGCAAAAGAGGAAACAAAGAATCACTGAATTAAAGTAACTTTCCCAAGGTTACAGAGAAGACAAGTCCAATATTTCCCAAAGTATGTTTTTATAATACGTACCCCCAAAAGGGTTCTATGGTCAAGTAAGTGTTAGAAACTTAATGTCTTGGAGAGTCTCAGGGCAGAGCCAAAGCAAAGGCAGTGTGAAGTCCTGTATTTTAAAACCATCCAACTTCATTTAACTTCGATTTTTCTAAATTTTTTAGTCCACAGAGTCCTTTTATTCCCCCAGAGGAAACTTACTAGTATCTTGAAATTCTAGGATTTGCCAAGTATGGTTTGGAAAATGCTGCTCGAAGCCGTTTGGGCTTTATTCAGAGATAATCCTGGGACTTCCACATGCAGTATATTGAATTCAAATTGTCTTGGCCTATGGCAGAGTCACTTTTCCTAGGTGGTACCTTGCTCCCAGTTCTAGAGTAATGGCCCCCTTCTGAAGCCCACGCTGAGAGCCTCCGGCTGGAGCGCAGCAATACGCCCCAGCCCACAAGTGATTCTGATTCTGTTAAAATTTGAGAACCACTACTCTGGGGGTGGTCCCTCCACTCAACCAATGAAGAACCAACCTGGCTCAGTGGACCCAGCTGGCCAGGCACTTGGGCCTCCTCTTACCATGTCCAGCTGTTTGTGCGTGTCGTCCAGGGACACGAAGGTCGCCTCCTTCAGCTGCTTGCTCACGATCTGGAAGAGGTTCAGCGTTGCCATCTTAATGGTGCCAAGCAAGAGGGTCTTCTTGGCGGCCGTGTTCTGGATGTGTGCCCAGCGAGATTCCTGGGGACGGGATGAGGGCGGGGCGTGAGCACTGTGAGCGTGAGTGTGTGCGTGAGTGTGAGTGTGAGTGTGTGTGCACGCGCGTGCGTGTGCCCCTCTCTCCCTCTGCGCCCGGAAGCCCCCGCCCCGCCCCGGGCGCTCACCCAGATGATGACGTCGCTGCGCGCGCGGTCGAAGCGCATCTGCAGGCGCGCCAGCTCGTTGTTGTGCTGCAGGATCTCGTCGTCCTTCTCCTCCTTGTAGCGCGCCAGCCGCGCCTTGGCGCGCTCGATCTTCTCCTGGCCCTCCTGCGCCGACTGCATGAGGTCGTGGTGCATGCTCACCAGCGTCTTGTAGCGCGCGATCACCTCGTGGATCTCTTCGAACTGCGGCGGGGGACTGGGGTCACTGCACCGCTGCCCCGGGGGCCCGACCCCACTCCAAGCCCCCAACTCCCAGCCTAGCTGCCTCTGCTTGGCAGGGAGGCCCTGGGCCAAGGACACAGGGCAGAGGCTGCGAGGCGTCCTTGGCGTCCCGCTGCGCTCCTCCTGGGTTGGAATGGGCCGTGGGCCACGTGCTGGGGGCACGTGCAACTGAACCTGGTGTTCTCAGTCTTGATTGCTTGTTCGAATCACTTGTGAGCTTTACAAAGGACACCTGTGAGGCTCCACTCTCAGAGACCCAGATTTAAAAACGCTTCTGAAATTCGCGGAGTTGATCTATGGTTGAGAATTGATGGCAGCATTGGGGGGTGAGAGGGTGCATTTTGAGATGCCTCCCATGCAATAAAGATCCTATTCAGCAGGAATGGCCCACGAACCACTTATAAGCCAGAAACTGTGCTAAATGCTAGGAGCAGAGCAGGAGATAAGGAAGCCAGACCCTGCTTTTGTGAGGCCTACGAGTGGGCGTGGCGTGGAGAGAGGTCAGAGGAGTTGTCAGTTACAACACAGCATGATAAGCCCTATCGGTGACTGGGGGATGGGCTGCAGGAGACTGCTGGGACGTATCTCCAGCACGGTGCTCTCTGGTATTCGTTCACCAATTGCGGCGGCCTCCCTCCAGCCAGGGGCTGGAGAAGTTACAAGTGGGGCAGGTGGCCGGCCAGGCTCAGCTGCCTTCTCCGGTATGGTCCAGAGCCATGTCACTCTGGCCCTAACTTGCCGGCCCCACTCAGCAGAACAGAAGCCCTGCACCAACCCCTCTTTAGAAGGTGGTATGAGCGCGACTTCCAAGATGCCAACTCACGTCCCCGGGGGTTTTATCAAAGTGTGCCTTCCAGCCACCTAGGGGACACTCCCTGAGCACTTTCTCCGTCTCATGACTTTTCCAGCAATAGATTGGTGTTCCGGGAACTGCCCCGCTAGCCTTTCCTCAGATATATCCTCTGTAGGCAAGGGCCACTTAACACCGCATTAGAAGAGATGGAAACAGGCAGAGAAGATGTCCTGGGAGAAGGGATGGCTAAAATGAGACCAGAGGTAAGAAGATGGCCAGGCAAGGGCAGGTGGCAGAAGGTGCAGAAGTCGTACAGGTAGAGGGAACAGCCTGGGTGAAGATGATAGGGTGTGTGGGGCAAGTTCAGGATGAGGAAGAGAGTGTCGCATGAATGGCCTGAGTTCAAGCTGGGGAGGGAGACATCTCCCTGGAGAAGGACAAAAACTGCCCAGTAAACGCTGAGGAGTGTGGACGTCATCCGTTAAAGGAGCGAGCAGAGAGATCACTTACTGTCTGCACTTCTGAGAGATGCAACGGTCCACCACACTTAAAACCAATGGGCTACATCAGAGCAACCAGGACCACCTCTCTAAAACTCAATGCTGATGTCAAAAGGACTCAGGTGCCAACCTGCAGAGGCTCTTGCTGTCCACAGATGGGACCCTTTGAACATCAGTGAGAATAAGTGCAAAGGATTGAAACACAGCAAATGTGTTAAAAAAAAAATGAGTTCACAGTGATGCAAACAACATTGCAGGGCACTTTTGGAGGATGCTGGAGGACCAGTCATTATTCTGAAAACTGTAATAAAGAATCAAACATTTAACAAGCTTTTTCTTTAAGATCCATATGGTCATCAAATAGTTGATGAAGGGAAGATTCCCTTTATGAAGTCCTTTTCTGGATGGTGGTATTCCAGCTAATTCGTGAAGAAAGGGTCTCAGAACATTTCCAGCACCCTAGAAAGATCTTCAGCCCTGTTTCAGTCACTACCTGCCCCTGCCACTACCGAGGAAACCAGAACTGTGACTTCTGTCCCCAAAGATTCACGTCCCCTGTTTTTAAACGCATCAGTGGAATCACACAGTATGTCCTCTTTTATGTCTGGCTTCCTCTGACCAGCAGAACAGTAACATCTGTGACACCTGAGAAACGTACCAGCCAAATGCAGCGTGGGGACTTTGTTTGGACCCTGGTTGGAGCAAACCATCTGTACAAAAAGCATTTGTGCAATACCTGGGGGAATTTTAACGTCGACTGGATACAAGCGTGACAATGGTACTGTGCTCATGTGAAAAAGAGCTCTTTCAGAGTTACACACCGAAATGCTTATGGATGAAAAAAAATACCCTTTGCTTTAAAATGGCAGAGATGGAGAGCTGACAATGAGTTGACAATTGTTGGAATTAGGTGGTGAGTAATGGGCATTCAGTAGACTATTCTTTTTACTTTTGTGTATGTTTGAAATTTCCCCTAATACAAAGTTATTATTTTTTTAAGTCATTTGATTGGGAGAAAGAAGCCATAAAAGGACATGGACATACTATTCATAGTTTGTGGACAATGTAATCTATTGTCACCAGTAATAAAAATAAACATGAGAGTGAGAAATTAAAAATCTGGATACTGGTTACCTCTGAGGAGAGGAGGAGGATGGAGTTTGGAAGGGGGACCCACTGGGGTTTCCATGACCAGCTGTGTTTTATTTAAGAAAAGAGTCAAGTACAAATAGGGGGAAATATTAAGATTTGACGAAGCTGCGGTGAGTACTTGGGTGCTGCTATATATTGCTGTGTACTCTTCAGTACGCTTAAAATATTTTGAAAGAAATAGAGGAAGGAGGAAAGAGAGAGAAAGAAAGAGAAAGAGGTCACACTGGCTGGAGGATGCCGGGCAGGCTGGTGGCCAGGAGTCAGGCCAAGCTGAACTCCAGGGGAGGTATCTCTGGTCTGGGTGAGGAAGGGACAGGGGCTGGATTCCAGAAATACTTAGGAGGCAGAACAGACCAGATCTGCTGATTGATGGCTGTGGCGAGGGAGGGAGGAGGAGGAGGAATCTGGGATGAGGCCCGAGTTCTGGCGGGGCTGTGGGTGGGGGGCCGTGCCATTCACCAGTACGGGACCCACCAGCAGCAGGGCTGGCCGGAGGCGGGCAGGAAGCCATTGTGGACTCAATAAATTAGATGGAGGGGACTGCAGCTTAGGTGAGAGATCCAGGCCACCGAGAGCCGGGCCAGTCTCCTCAGTTCTAAGACACACCGTTGTCCAGCTCTAAATCTGAGTCATAGCTCACCATTTATCTGCTGCTTTACTAGAGTAGTCTTCCCTCCCTCCTCCCACCCCTAGCCCAGTTACTACAGGGACAATTCACCGGACCGCAGGTAGCACCTTGGAATGGAATTTGGGACTCGTGCATAAATAAATCAGGTTAGTGGTTCTATATGGAAATTGCCAGGACTTTTTAAAAAGCTGTGCATCCTTTGTGTCTCAGTGGCCCCTACAGGACACGGATTCCCACCCAGAGGACACACCTTGTACTTCCCTCCACCCTGGTGAGGGGCCCTGCTGCTGTTCCCCAGGGTGCAGGGACCCGGGGTGGGGAGCTACTGACGTGGCGCCATCCAGGGGAGGCCCGGGGAATCGCTCAGGGAGAAAAGCAGAGGGTCTGGGACAAAGACCTCAGGGAGCTTTAAGGAAGGAGCGAGAAAGAGGAGCCTGAGGAGGAAGGGCCAGAGGCAGCAAGGAAGGAGGGGAAGGGGGGAGGAGTCCCAGAAGAAAGGGTACAGGTATGTTTCAAGGGAGGCATCCACGGTGTCAAATACTGCAGGAAGTGTGGGTAGAGGGCCAAGAGGTTCCCTCAGCTCTGGTGACAAGGCAACTTTAGGAAGCGCAGTTGTCACTGGCCTTGTGGGACCCACAGATGAGTGGTTAGAAGCAAAGGCTCTGCCACTTCCAAGCTGTGCAACCTTGAGCTGGTAACCTGACCTCTCTAAACCTCCACTTCCTCCTTGTAACAGGGTGAAATACTGGCTTTCCTCTGGGGGTGAGCAAGCGGGCTGAGCGAGGCTCGGAGCACAGCACCTCGCCCAGGGCCCAGCACAGGACAAGTGCCCCTGCTCTGCGTGGGGCTGGTGTTTCTCCAGTTTCTCTCCCTCTGTCTCCCCATTTATTCTCAAGTAAACCAAAAACACCAGGGGGGAGGGGAAGCAGGGAGAGTGTGGGTCACATTCAATGTAGGCAAAGCTGATCGTTTTGCCAAAACAGAGCCTCATTCTTCCAACACGCACGTGTAGACAGAAGCCATGTAGACAGGGACACAGATGTCACTCACAGACACAAAGATCCACTACCAGACCCCTGACCCTCTCCCAGCTGCCCTCCTCGGCTGGAGGGGTCTCCCCAGAGCAGGTGACCATCCCTGCGAGGGTCCCTAGCCTCCTCTCCTGCCATAGCCTGGGCCCCTGGGAAAGAGGGGGTGGCACTGAGGAAGGCACCCCGCCATTCTCCCCGCACCTCCGAGTTCTCCACCACCTTCTCCAGGTACTTGTTGAAGATGGCGTATTCCTGCAGCTTGGCGCTCATCCGCTGGTGCTCCAGCCGCAGGGCCGCTATCTCCTGCTTGGCCTCGGCCAGCTCACGCACGCACTGCCTCTTGAGTTCTCGCTCCTTGTTGGCCTTCTTCAGGGCCCGAATCCGTTTCTGGTCGTTCTCCTGGGGCCGGGGAGGTGGTGCCGGTCAGGCACGGGCCCTGCCCTCCCTGGGGCCCAGGCCGGTGGGGCCCCCACAAGGCCTCGGTCCACCCTGAGGATGGTCAGGGCTGGCCAGGCCGCCTGTGTCGGGGAGGAGGTGTGAGGAAGAGCATCTCCAGGGTTATCTGAAGCTGGTTAGGGGGGTTGCAGTGGACTGAGGTGGGCCAAGAACGCTGCGAGGGCAGAGGTTTAATCCAACGTTGAAGGTGGCCTGATGACAACAAACAGGAAGTGATTCTGATTCTGTGAGACCTGCGCTCTGGCCTTCCGCGAGTGGCCTGGGGAAGGGCTGGGGCGGCCCCACACCGCACTGGGCTCAGTGTCTGGGGAGAATGCCACCCGGGGAAGGCTGAGAAAGTCCGGAAGTGGGAGCAGGAACCCTTCTGACCAAGTTTCTGTTCCTATTCTTAGTGGCGGCCGGGTGTCATGGGGCAAAGTCCTGGACCCAGGCTTGGGAGGCCCGAATTTTCTCCCAATTTGGTATTTGGTGCCTTAACTTCTCCCACTGTAGAAACGAGAGGCAGGAGCCACTCTCTTCCTCTCAAAAGCTGGAGCAATTGTGAGCTAGGAGGCGGGCCTACTCCAGAGGGGCCGGGCCATTCTGGAGAGTATGTTCCCGGAGCGCAGTCTGGCCTCAGGCTGGGACAGGAGGAGGTGGTGCAGGCAGTTCGATGTCCGGACAGAAAGACACGAGGCTCAGCTGGGCCGACCCCCTTCTCCTTCCTTCTGCAAAGCCCTCCTCCCAAGATTAGGGACAAACCTCTCACACTGCATTTGTGTGACTCCTTTCCCCCTCCAGGGGCTCCTGGGAGTCACACGGACGGGCACGTGTGGTGGTGGCATCTGGGGAACGTGGAGGAAGGCGCTCTGCCCCGTGGGTCCAGGAGAGGACAGAAGGGCTCTAAACCAATGGCTTTCAAGTCCGATTGTGCATTATAATCCCCTAGGGATACTTTTAACAATACAGTTGACTGGGCCCAACCTCAGGCCTGCTGAAAGCAAGGAGAGACGGGCTCCAGGGGTCCGTCCTTGTAAACCAACCCTCCAGGATTGCGAGGATTTGGAGAACCCCTCACCCTCCAGTCTCCTGCTACCCCAAGCACTCCACGAGCCTTCCTCTGGCCAGTAAGGACTGGATTTCTAGAGAATAAGGCCTGGTCCATCAGCCTCCTTTCCCAGCTGGTTTAGGCACAGAGAGGGACCAAAGATGCTTGAGAGCAGGGCTTCCCTGAAGGAAGAGGCCAGTGATTACCCCCAGGACTGGGCCAGCCCTTCAGGGCTCAACAAGTGTTGGCTGGAGCAGGTCTGGAGAAATCTGGATTTTAAAATGGTTACATCAGTCCTTAGGAATCTTCTCAGAATGGACTCTAGTGCCTGGTTCGTATATAGTTTGTTTTGTTTTGTTTTTTAATTTTTCTAATGGAGGTACTGGGGATTGAACCTAGGACCTCGTGCCTGCTAAGCACACGCTCTACCACTGAGCTCTCCCCTGGTGCCTAGTTCTTACATGCCCTCTGCCTGGGCCTTCAGTGCCAGGGTGGAGGGGCAGAGTGAGCTGGGGGGACTAAAACCCGGTGTGACTCATCTTTGTATCCCCCAGTGCCTGGCCCTGACTGTGGCACATTCATTCATTCATCATCCATCAATCATTCACTCACCAGATAAACTGTACGTACCAGCTATGGACAAGAAAATAGGAAACAGCAATCTAGAGGGGGCAGAGTCTGGCAAGGCAGCAGGAAATTATAAACAGGGCAGTGGGAGGGGCACATAACGGGGGAAGCTCCAGGCATTGCTGAGCACCAGGAGACTTCTAAGCCAGGGTGAGGCATCACAAAGTCAAGGGGAAGTGGGTGGAGGGGCCACTTGGCCAAGGGCAGCATGTGGCTGCAGCAGGGCCCACCCCTTCATACCTGGATGAACTGCTCGAACTTCTGGATGTGGGCTTTCAGCTGGGCTTCCCTGATGCCCAGTTCCTCCCAGCGCAGGTTCAGCGTTTCCATTCTGCGCTGAAATGTCTTGGGGTGGGGGGAGCAGAGAGGTCAAAAGGAGCCCTGCATGGGGACCAAGGGAGGCCCCAGCATCCCCTGTCCCAGAGCCTCTGTCCCCAGGTGCCTGCTTTCCACCCCACGTCCACATCTGGTTCAGAACAGAGCATCCCGGGACACTGGTACCCCGAAATTTGGATCCTTCCTGTGCTCTGCAGAGGAAACAAAGGACCACTACCCAGGACTCCTGGCTCTAGCCAACACCGCCCACAAAACAGAAGACTGTCTTCGGGCTGTCCCTGGGCCCTGTGGCCCTTCTTGCCCTCTACCCGAGTCACCCACCTCCTTCTTCTGCTCCATAGCATGGTGCAGGATCTTGGCCTCCTTCTTCTTCTCCAGCAGCCGGATGGATGGGGAGTCTGACTGGTCCTCGATGCTGGGGAACTTCCTGCCCAAGACACAGGCAAGAGGGACCGTGGACTCTAAGCACATGGGCAGCCTGGGACCGGGAGGAACCCATGGAGATAGACACCCATGGGGAGGGAACGGGTCCTCTCCTCCCCCATCTGAGTGGAAGGAATGGTGTGCTGAGAGGGAGAGGGGGCCTTGCTGGAAACTGGGAAGCATCTAGGGCCAGGCGGTGTGATAGGGGTGGGTCAGTGCTGGGTGATGTGGGGCGCTGGGCTATAGGAGTGGGGGGGCAGGTTGGAAGGTGGGGCATGGGGTGGCCCCTCCAGCACTCACTGCAGCAGCTGTAGCAGCCGCTCCCCATACTGCAGCCGGAAGTACTCAGCCAGATCCTCCTCCTCCATGATGCCCAGGCTCATGACGGCAGTGACCTGACGGCCCGCAGCCGGATCTTCACAGTGAAACGGGATGGTGGCTGGGCTCTTGCTTGTCTCCTCCTCCTCCTTCTCGGGGTCCCACAGAAGGCAGGTGTCTGACAGACTTGGGGAAGACGGTTGGAGGCTGACGATCCGTGGCTCAGGATGCTGTGTGGGGAGGGTGCTGGGAGACCTGGTTACCTAGCAACAGGTTTCCTGGTTCTGTGAACCACAAGTGGAACCCAGACTTTGCCCTCTGACCCTTGTCCCCAGTGACCTCATTCTTGCTGGGGTCTGGCTCTCTCTGCTCCTGCAGTTCCCGGGCAGGAGCTCTCGGAAGAAGTGAGGCTCCATTAGATGCTGGTTCCCAGGGCTGGGAGGCAGGGTCTGGGTGTCCCTGGCTGAGAAAGGGGTTTTGGTAGAGGCATCCTTGTGAAGGAGCCCTGCCCTTGGGGCCTACCTCCTGGACTCAGCTGTGTGTGTGAGGGTGAGGCAGGGGGCTGGGGCTGGGACAGGTGGGTGAGAAGTCAGGGACTGAAGGACGGAGGTGCTTATATGACGTGGGGTGGGGATGGACAGAGACACATGGGGCCTGTGGGAAGACGGGATTAGGCCTGAAGTTGAGGACCAAGTGGTGGGTGAAGGATGTGTAGGGGTGTGTGTTGGGACGGGCTGGGGGTGGTGGGGCGGATAGGCAAGAAGCCTGGGGACTAAAGAGGCCATCCCTGGGAGACGGGGGACACCCAGGACGAGGCTTCTCAGAGGGTAAGAGACTCAGAGCCATGTTTCTGAGGTTGGCGGAATATTAAAACATGAAATGTCAAAACGTGGTAACATAACTGTCGGATGTTTTACGTGTTTATTTTATGATGCCTGCCTTCCTTCATCCCGTCAGAGCATCGGGCCTGAGCTCATTTGGCCTGAGGTCCAGCGTCTAAATCTGAGACCCTGTGTGTGAGGCCGACGCCCTGAGGTCCCCGCCCGGAGGTAACGGCCGTGATCTCGAGCCGGCCGCTGCCCGGCACAGACTCCCGGACTGTTTGGTCCTCTCAGCTTCCCCTGTCCCCGCCGGCCGCGAGGCGTCGGTTCCCTGCGGGCCTGGGATGCGGAGCCAGGGTGCGGCTGGGGTCCGGAGCCTTGCAAGCCCACCCCGCGGCATTGCCGGTCCTCTGGCGCCCCCTGCTGGCCGCCCGAGTCTGCCCTCAATCCTGGCCCCGGAGCAGGAGACGTGGGGTGGGGGCGCGAGGCCCACCCTTCCCTCTCCCATTCTCACTGCTCAGCC